CATTCTCCCCCCCCCCCCATGATCAACCATTTCATTTGAGTGTTTGTCTCTCTGTACATATTTAGCAGTAATTATAGACTTATCCTAGAGAATCAAATGCAAAGTAGCTATTTTGGAGTGGCCTTTCACAGTAGTATCATGAGAGAGTTGTATCCTCTAATATGGTAAGATGACATGATCCAGAGCAATGCAGTGTTACGTTAGTTTTGGTTTGTAAAGGCATGTTGAATAATATTGCAGGAATCAGGCCTGCACTTATCTTCCAGCTTGAAAGAGCAATGTGGGCTTCACAGTCCCATTCTGTTTTTATGAGTCATTGAAAATGTACGAGTGAAATGTGGTGGTATTGTTTTTTTATTGTTGTTAATTTGCAGTGAAAGGGAGAGGAGTAGAAGAATAAGGTACTTCTTTAGTTTGTTTATTTATTTACAGTAGGACCCCAATATCCACAGAAGATCAATTCCACAACCAATCGACCACTTGTGCCTGAATCCAAGGATATGAAGGAATCCTATATACAATGTACAAGGAGTGGAACAAAGGCTAAAAGGGGACACCATTGTATGTTGTATATAAGGCAAACTATGGAAAAGTGAAACAGCGGATACTGATCAAGCGGATATGGGAGTCCAACTCTATTAATTAACTATTATGAATCCACTGCACTCAATGTGGAATTATGTAACTCTACTTTCCCCTGCCTTGTCTTCCCAACAACCCTCTGTGATAGGTTAGATGGCGAAGGAACGGGACTCACCCAAAGACATCCAATGTGTTTCATCATTCAGTGGGAACTTTTTTTTAACCACTGTATCCCAACAGCACCTGACTGCTACACCTCCTACAAGAAAGATGAATGAACATTAGCATATTGTTAATAAACTTTGTGGGGGGGTTTCTGTCATCTGCTCGGCTCCTTTAAAAAAGGTTGGAGAGAGGACTTTTAGGGGACATGGTAAAAGTGCTTTAAAAACAGTCCTGCAGAAGTTTTTGCATTGCCCTTCTAACTCCTTGGGCAGATGTAGAAAGCTTTTGATAAACTAAAGGAGTTAATAGGTCCCAGCAGTCAGCCAATCTGTAGGATTTGTGATCCTTTTTTTTAATGGTGCAAGGACAGTATTCCCCAACCCTCTGGTAGCTGAAGCCCTTCCTCTTCCATCTTCAGATTCACTTTTACAGCTGAGCAGATTTCACCTGTGAGAGTATCCAAGATGAAGAACTGCTGTTTTTCAGAGGCACCTGATAGTATTTGTTCCTCTACCAGTCACTTATCAGGGCATTGACTGCTTTTTTTTAAAAGGAAGGCTGATGTGGAAATTGAACAGAATGCTTCCAGACTGTGCAACAACCTAGTCTGAATTGCCTACTCACCTACAAGGATCGAAAAGTCTGTTTTTCTTTACCAATTTTGTCTCCCAGAGAGAAATAGCAAAAATTAGGTTTTAAGGGTAGGGGCAGAAATATTCTCCAACAGAATGGTAAATTGATATGTGCCAGATTTTATAAGGCAAACAAATACAGAAGTTTGTATCGTAGAAGCTTGATTGTTTCAACTGTTAGATTTTATCCTTGTGAACAGAATCCAACTGAATATTTACACCAGCATAAGTACAGTGGTATGACTTAGAGCAGTGAATAGTTCTTTATTAACAAGTCCCTGATTGAATTCTTAGTTACACCAGAGCTGCACAACTCAGCATGCAATTAGGAATACAGCAGGATCCCCCCCATCTGCTGGATCAGCATCTGCGGATTCACTTATTCACTGCCTGAAAATATGAAGTTAAAAACCCACAGAAAATTCATGGTGTACTGTATTTAAAACTAGCTGCCAGAAGGAGCCAGAGACAAGACTATGTATACCATTTGCTAATTCCACATCTTTCAGTGTCTGGGGTGGGGGGTGGGGGCTTGGGACCAATTCCCCATGGATGCCGCAAATTTGTACAGCCACAAATTTGCTAATTATTAGTTATTTGCTCCTCTGGGTTACACCACTGCACTTATGACAGAATAAAGATATAGTTGATTATGTGTGCTTTTTTAAAGTTATAATTATCACTTTTCAATTATTTTTAAAAAAGGAAGGTAGTTCAATGGCATTTTCAAGTTATGCCTGAAACTAGATAGCATTGGGTTGGCATGGGGATTTTTGGAATTTGTGAACAAATTTGCATTCATTGGCTTAAGAACTTGAAAACACCTATAAAGACTTTGATTTCTTGATTAAACTCCTAGAAGTCTGACTGAGGGAATTCCTGCAGACATCTGGGGGCTGTAGTCCATGAATTCCACAAGCCCCATGCCTAATACAGTATTGGTTTTGTTATTTGAGTTGTACCTAGCTATAGATATATTTGACTGGATTGATAAGGGAGCTTCTTTGTGTACTTCTCCCCATGGCCATCCCTCAGCCCCTCAAGAAGATAGACACAGGATTGGGGCACCCTGTTGAATGAGATGAGCCATAATGTAAAGAAGAAATTTATTCAGGTGAATGCATTTTCCATGAGCACCTCCATTATTTTGTTTGTTAGCTCAGCTGCATGGCTTTGATTCATTATAGAACTACATTGCATTATACTCTGTCAATTGTATCAGAATTGGCACAGTTAAATTTGTTTTATTTTCCCCCAGCCACATGACTTAGAGCTAATCATGACCATTTCCGGTCTTTTTTCATGGTTGTTTGATGTACTTTGTTCCCCTAGAAGGGTCTATGGCATTTTTTATGATTATGATTTACTTCATTTTTTGGCATGTGTGAATATGTGTATTTTTGTTTCATGTGGGCAGTGACATCTTCAGTGTTGTATAGCAGGTCATCTGGAACATCCCCCTCCAGTGAACAGCAGTTCTGCCCAGAGGGTTGTACACACACACCTTCTTGTTCCTTGGTACTGAATGTGGGGTACTACTTCTCTTCCTCCACTCCTGCCACCTTTCCTCTTCTGCTTGTGACCACTTATCTATGGCTTTTCCTGGCATGGTTTAGGAATCAGTTGTCCATTTCTTCTCCTTTGCCATCCTCCCTACAGTCTTTGAGATGAGGGTATGTTTCATGCGGGAGGCAGAGAAAGGGTGAGGGGGGGTGTTGCATGTGTATCCTGGCAGAATAATATTTGTTTACAGGGATCAGTGATCCCTGTATGCAAAGTAAGATGTGAATAAATGGCAGTACTGTAATCAATTCCATTGATTACAAGGTCATCCAGGAGTGGTTGGGGGAGTTTAGTGTGAAAGGTAATAGGTGGGAAAGGGGACAAAGTTACTATACAATGCGAGGTTCTTATCCTGGTGAAAGTTGTCCACAGTATGGAACTCTTGCAGTGATATAATTAATCATTTTCTATGAGGACAATTACAGGGGTTTCAGCAGCAGAAACTACTAAGGACCTGGCTTAAAAAACTTCAAAACAGCCAGATATAATCCAGGTATACCTTCCCATGTCTGGCACCCAAAGTAGTGCTTCTACTACTTCTCATTTAATTTGCTTTAATTTTTAAGAGTTCTGCTAGTTATACAATAGCCATATTTTCTATTCCACATTGTGACAACCCAAGGTTATACTGTAAGCAATAATGCTGAACTGAACTAAAGAGGAACCAGCACCTGTTTCTTATTAAGAAACGTCACTGAAGAAAGATGGTGGAATCAGGGAGAGTTAACAACCATGCATCCTTACATAAACCATATAGAAAGAAAAACGAAGAGCTGCTTTGTGTTTGTCTCAGGGCTTTTACGCATTGCTATTGTGCTTGACCCTCCTCATGCTGTAGTTCACCCCTAAAAAGATAGCAGATGACAGCCTCCAACAGAGAGGATTGCTAATCTGAGGAACCAAAATATTTTTGTGTGGTTTGTAACTGCCTAACTGAAACACTTCTGTACCACGTTGCCCTCAGCTGATTCCAAACAACATCTAGCTGGCTTTAGCATTTGCAACCACAGCTATCTGTCATGGAGGCGGGGCTCAGTCCTGGTATTATTTGACAGCCAGTTTGGCATAACAGGGGAGTGTGTATGAGTAACCTCTGCCCACGCAGAGATTTCTTCGTTTCATT